CAAGACCAAATAAAAGGAGAATGAAGAATTTCCAAGTAATTCACTCTCACACACATACACACACATTAAACTCACTGCTGCTGAGTCAATGCCAACTCCATTAGGTTTCTGAACCTAAAATCTTAATGAGAAATGATGGTTCATCTTTCCACCATGGAACAAGTGGTAGATTACAATCACTGCTTATAATCGGTTAGCAGTCCAATCCACAGGACCCTACACCACAAGCACTCAGTCTTCTATACCTATTAACTGGCACTGGAAAACTATCTTAATAGTACAATGTTCGAGGCAACATAGGAAGCAAAGTACAACTAACAAGTCTGAATAGTATGTTTTTTCACTTGTATAAAATTACTCAACAGCAAAATAAACTGTTACATACAACTCACTAAACATTATTTATAAATAGAGTGAAATAATTGTTTAAAAAAATCAATGTGTAAAAAAAAAAAAAAGAGAGAGAGAAAAATCAATGTGGTTGTATAATCAATGAAATCTCATACCTGTTCTGGGCTGTTAACATCTCCCTCTGAGGATGTGGTCCACTGTATACAACTCTTGATAAACCATGCTGGGATAGTGCACTTTCAGTCAGAGCCATGGAACCAATGCTGGAAGGCTAAGGAAAAGACATTTGAACAAAGGGGAAAAATAGTTACTTTACATAAAATGTGATATTTGTCAATAGACAGACACCATTGGTTGCCATGAGCATCATAAATCCTAAAAGTAAATGTTGAGACTGCCTATCAAATATTTTTCTAGTTGTTGTTGTTGTTATGTGCCGTCAAGTTGCTTGTGACTCATAGTGACCCTATGTACAACAGCCCTAAACCCTGCTTTATCCTGTGCCAATTGCATTGCCTCTGACACATCCATCCCGAAGACTTGGAAAAAAAACCTAAAAACTCAAGCCACAAATAAAAAATAATTCCACTTTAAAAATTTCTACCTCAGCAATATACAGTTTCCAAAGAAAAAAAGAAATAAAACTAGTTTTATTCTCACTGTGAGAAATATTTTTAAGAAAGAATTAAGTAATTAAGTCTAAAGTTAAACGATTATTTTCTTTTTTCACATTAAGAACAATAAATAGTCTTATGTGACATTTTACACTTTTAAATTACTAATAAAACATTTTTTTTCTTTTTCTTTTCTGGCTTCAGAACCTAACTCCTAATTTATGGTTACTTCAAAAATCAGGACCAATAATAATTTTACATTAATGAAATATCACTTACTTCATGGTACACAGATGGTTTGGATAAAGATGGAATCGTAAAACTCAATATTTTGCTATGTCCCTCTTTGTCAACTATCTCCTACAAAAGTGAAAAAAAAAAACCAACCAAAAATAACTTAATATTTTTTTAAACAAAATTTTAAATGCCAAATTTAAATTGCTAGTACAAATGAGAAAGTAAAAAAGAAACATCTGACTATAAGGGAATATTAACGGCCACTAAAATCTTAAAACGTGAGACTCCAATAGCAAGTATTCACGAATATAAATATTTGACATGGGTATCTTTCCATTTTAAAAATATTAACAACATAAAGTTTTCTAAATGGTTAAAATATAGATAGTGCCTTAATAATTATTCATTTTCCTCATCAGTAATCTTTTTAAATCAGTTAACATAGTTTTAAAACAGGTCAAGAAAAGAAGCTTAAATTTCTTTTTTTATTTTTAAAAATATACACCTTAAGTGACATGTTACTTAATACACAAATATTACTAACAATTCAAACCATATATCAATCAAAGGTGTAAAATCTGGACACGGTCTAGATTTTTTAAAATATTACTGTTGGCTATTGTACCCTCAACATCAGATTAGAACTTTTTTCCATACTTTTGGTACAAATAAGAAACTATTAACTCATTAATCAATAAATTTTAAATTTAAAACACTTAAAATCGGACATTGATATTTTCAGATACTTTGGCAGGTGTGAATAGTCTCTCAATCTTTTAACAATCTAAAAAAGTATATTTACATAATTATATATATGTCTATATGTGCCAAACCTCAAATTATTTTTTAGAGAATGACCTATGTATGAATTACTTGATGTGGGAAAAACAAATAATAACTTTAATAAAATGAAAAATAGATGTAAATCTTAAAACAGTTCTGGTAAACGAACTAACAAAAAGGTGAGAAGAAATATTCTAGAAATGACTCTTTTCTACTCATGTTGATATATTTGTTTGTGATGAAAAACACCTTGTTAATGGCACTGAATACAAACCAAATTGTAAACCCCTAGTAGAAGTGCTTCAATGCATCCACTGCTATGCACATTTCTGCTGGCTGACACGGCAAGGTAGCACCAAATCAATTCTGGGAGAAACTGCAGTGTAAATCGAAGTAATTGTTCTTCTCCACTGCGATAAAATTCAAAGAGTTGGTGACATACGGGTTCTAGCAACTGGAAGAAAACGAAAATGTTAGTTCAAGGGCTGAACAGTTAGTTGCCTTAAACTGTTATATGAAACATAAAAGGTTGTACCTGATTGATAATTATTGAAATATTATTGAATATAATAAATATTCATATTTTTTTCTGGTGCAAAACTATTTACTGCTAAGCTATTTAGAAATCTACTGAATTCTGGTGTGAGGACAAAAAATAGAACAAACATATTCAGAGAAGATTTTTGAAAGATAGAGACAATTCTATTTCCTGCTTTGAGTGATACTACACTGAGTTCACTTATTATTGTTCTTTAAACATTTACATTTTTTCAGTTTATATTTAAAAAGGAAAAAAATTCATTTACTTTGATGAATCAAGTGAATATTTTGTTGCTGTTAGTTGCCACTGAGTCAATTCTGATTTGTGTCAACTCCATGTTTGAAGAACAGAATTACTGCACAGAATTTTCTAGGTTGTGACCCTCCTGAAGCTGTCAGGCCTTTCTTGTGAGGTCCATGGGGTAGGTCTGAACCATCAACCTTTTGGTTTGTAGTTGAACCCTTAAGTGATTGCACCTCCCAGCAATTCCCAAATGAATACTATGAGCATTAATCAACTCTAAGCAAACTTACCTCACTTTGTGGTTCCTGGATCACTTTATAGAGAGATGAAACTAAAGCGCTCTTGTCTTTCAAGTTTGTGGCATAATTTGGTAAAGATGTTTCCGGCAGTGTCTAAAAATTGAAAAACAAAACATTCCACTTATAGGAAATGTCCAGAATAGGCAAATCTAAAGAGAAAGACTGTGTTGCCAGTGACTGGGGTAGAGCGTGAGAATTAAGAGTACTGTTAACAAATATAAGGTTTGTTTTTGAGGTGATGGAAATATCTTAGATAAAATTAGATGATGGTGGTAGCTGCATAGTATTGTGAATACATCAAAGCCAACTTAAATGTACACTTTAAAACAATGAGTTTTGTCATATGAATTACGTCTTAATAAAAATAATTACAAAAACTTAAAAAATATATTTTATAGTCTTATCTGCTGAGTTGAATATCAAGAAGAAAATAAATTAACACCAAATGTTTCATCTTTGATCACAATTTGGGGTGAGAAATAATATAAGCCAACACACATGAGGCACAGGAAGTGACACACAGGGAGCAAGACACAGAGAGCTACTCACAGGGAGCAGCAAGCAGGATAATCAGAATTTGAGTGAGAACTATAATTAAAACATTTCGTTTTGGAGCCACAGGAAAAGCAAGTCGTGGTGGGAGCTGCCAGCCAACCCCAGCAGGAGCCGCCAGCCAAACCCTGGTGGAAGCGGCCAACCCAAGCCCAGCAGGAGCACCACTGTGGGACCCACCCACCAGGAGCAAGCAGGACAGTGGGAATTTGACTGAGGTTTCTTAAGCCCCGTTGGACCCAGAATACCACCATGCAAGAGCCACCAGGCAAAAGCCAGACAGCTGGAATTTGAGTGAGATTCCCACGCGAGCCCACCTTGACAGCTGGAATCCGTGTGAGGTCCCATGCATGCCAGCCCCACACCCATGCCTCCAAGTCCAGTCAACTAACTTGCCTTTAATCCAGAGTAGTAATCAGAGGTCAATTTATAGCAATAAGCAAATATATCAAAAGGCAGGAGAAAATAACCATTGACTCTCTAACCCAACATCTCCAACAAATTTAAAAAGAACAGCCCCAAAACTCAACAACCTCTAAAAAAATGGAAATTATGAAAATTAAAGCAGAAATAAATTAAATATAAAACAAAAGAACAATTGAAACACTCAACAAAACCAGAAGTTGGTTCTTTGAAAAGGTCAATAAACTCAACAAACCACTAGCAAAACTAACAAACGGGGGGGGGGGATCTAACAAAGGAAAAGATACAAATAGTCTGAATAAGAGATGAAATTGGCAACATCACAACAGAACCAACTAAAATAAAAAGGCTAACAATGGAATATTATGAAAAAATTATACTCCAACAAATATGAGGAAATGGACAAATACTTAGAAATTCACAACAAAATAGAATTACAGGGTAGTTTCTTCAACATAGTAAAAAGTATATAAAACAACCTGAAAGCCAACATTGTTCTCAGTGGATAGAGATTAAAGACATTTCCCTTGAGAACAGGAACTAGGCAAGGATGCCCACTATCACCTCTCCTATTCAATATTGTATTGGAAGTCTTAGTGATAACAATAAGGCAAAAGAAGGAAATAAGGGGTATCCAAATTGGCAAAGAGGAGGTAAAATCATCTCTCTATGCAGATGATATGATAGTATACTTAGAAATCCATAAAGACACAGCAAGAAAACTACTGGACATAGTAGACCAGTTCTGCCAAGTGGCAGGATATAAGATAAACATACAAAAATCAATTGGATTTCTCTACAGTGACAAAGAGAATATAGAACTGGACCTAAGAAAAACAATACCCTTCAGAATAGCTAATCACAAGATTAAATACTTGGGAGTAAATGTAACCAGAAGCACAAAGGATCTAGTAAAAAAAAAAAATGATAAAACATTACTACAAGTAACAAAAAGAGACCTGGAGAAATGGAAGGATATACCTTGCTGGTGGATAGATAGACTCAATATTGTGAAAATGACAATACTATCAAAGGCAATTTACACATTCAATGCAATCCCAATACAAATACTAATTCCATTCTTCAACGATATGGAAAAGGCAATCTCCAATTTTATTTGGAATGGAAAGAGGCTCTGAAGCAAAGCACTCCTTAAAAAGAGAAACAAAGCATCTTCAAACAAATTGGACATCTGTGGCTCTGCTAATACAAGCACACATGCTGGATTAAAATCCATTTCCCCTCTGCTGGACAAATGCAGATATATGATGGACACTGAGCAAGGTCTGGTGTTGCCATTAATTTTGCCAGAGAGGGTTTCTGGTAGGCAGAGGCCATGATGCATCTTCCATGTAAGCCAGGAAAGTGACTTACAAGAGACATCTTACTGCCAGTCCAGAGATACCATGAAACCCTAGATGTTACCTGAGTCCCAGTTCTTTGCCAATCACAGTGCCAGATATTGAACTATGTTCTGCAGGAGACCTTAGGAGCACAGACACATAGGACAAATGACAATCCTATTACAGGTAAAAGTGAGGGAAAAAAATGTTATTGTAAATGTTAATTTTAAAATGCAATTTGTTTGAAGATGCTTGCTTCACTGAGATGCAGGGCCTCAATAATTTAAAATTAACCCTCTCAGCATAAAAAGTAATGGCTCTGTCAGAATCCAAGTGCAGAATGGCTAATATACGGTTTCACATGGTAATTCTAAATAAAGGGAAGTGCTGTGAGATGGAAGGGTTCTCTTTTTAAATGTAGAAAGGCAGACCAGGAGTTAGTGGAGAACATTAAAGTTACATCTCTAGTGTCTTAAGCTTGATGACTGTCAGGTGCAGGGCAGTTCTGAAAGACCTGCCCACTGGATGACCTCCAGGACAGAGAGACTGTGACCCCTACAGAGATCCAAAACTAAATCCACTCCTGTCAAATCTATTTCAGCTCATAGCAACCAAGAAAGGTAGAGCAAAACTGTCCCACAGGATTTCCAAGTTTCTAAAGTATCAAGTGTGTCAGAGATTGTGAGGATGGCTCAGGATAGAACAGGGTTTAGATCTGTTGTTCAGATCTGAATTGTATTCAGCTTGGCAGCACCTAACAACAATGAGTCTTCCCCAAAGCTTTCCTTTTCTCCCACCAACCAGCTGGTTAGTTGCTGAACACTTTATCCACTGTGCCATAAAACCAGAAATGCAAAGTGAATGAAGAATAGTGTGAAACACAATGTATACAAAGTTTGTAAGCAAACCAGGTAAGAAAAAAGAATGTAAAATAGAATGCATATGAATGATTGTATGAAACATGGTGTAAATGAAAGATGGTATAAAACACAAAGTATATGAATCAAACATAATGTAAAGGAATTATATGAAAACCAGTAAGAATATTTAAAACAAAAAAAGAGAAACAAGGTAAAAGGCATATCACCCCTGATTTCAAATCCTTCTACACTATTACGGTGGTCAAGACATCATGGTACTGGTACAATGACAGACACATTGATCAATGGAATAGAATTAAGAACCCAGAAATCAACCCATCTACCTATGGTCAACTGATTTTTGACAAGGAGATAAAATCAGTTAAGTGGTGAAACAACAGCCTTTTGAACAAATGATGTTGGCAAAACTGGGAAACTATCTACAGAAAATCCAAGCAAGATCCACACCTCATTCCATACACAAAAACTAACTCAAAGTGGATCAAGGATCTAGAACTAAAACCAAGGATTATAAGATTCAATAGAGAAAAGCTTAGAAGAACTCTGGAAGCCCTAATCCATAACATAGTCTTTCAAGCATCCTGAAAATCTACAACCAGGAGAGGAGAAAATAGATGAATGGGTCCTTCTAAGAATAAAAACCCTTTGCACATCCATAAACTTTAACAGGGTAAAAAGGAAAGCCACAGACTGGGAAAAAATATTTGGTAATGACATTTCTGATAAGGCACTTATATTTAGAATTTATAGAATACTCAAGCACAACAAGATAATGGTAAACAACTCAATTGAAAAATGGACACAGGATTTGAACAGACACTTGACCAAAGAAGACATTGAGATGGTGAACAAATGAAGAAATGTTCGAAATCAAAACAACTATGAGATATCTCACCCTGGTTAACAACAGCAAAATTTAGCGGGACAGCAAGCAACAAATGCTGGTGAGGTTGTGGAGAAACTGGAACCCTTATTCACTGTTGGTGGGAGTGTAAAATGGTACAACCATTGTGGAAGGTGGTATGGCACTTTCGCAAAAAGTTGCAAATAGAAATACCATTTGACCCAGCAATTCCACTACTAGGCATATACCCTAAAGCAATCATAACTGCCACACAAGCAGATATATGAACACCCATGTTTATTGCAGCTTTGTTCACAATAGCAAACAGTTGGAATCAGCCCAAGTGTCCATCAACAAATGAATGGAGAGAAGAAACTGTGAAAAACAATGAAATACTGAAGCATTAAAAAACAAGGAACTCATGAATTATTATACAAAATGGGTGACGTTGGAGGACGTTATGCTGAATGAAATATCTCAGTCACAAAAAGACAAATACTGCATAATGCCACTGTTGTAAATCTGGAGTGACATCAGGGTTTGGAGGAAACTAAGAGGAGATACATAATGTATATTGCATTGAAACAGATGAGGGAGAGAACTGTTTAGGGGGAATATATGATTAGGTATTATTGTCATGACAAGAGTCCAGAATGAAACATGCATAATAGAGTGGACTTGGGGGGAGGAGGGTGGATTGTATAACAATGAAAGAATTTTTTCTTACTTTTTTTTTTTATTTTTTTTCTATAATTATATTTTATTAATTTTCATAAACATTTACAGAGATTTTGGGCTTCCACTCATTCATTGTTGCACTATTCTCTCTACCCTCCTCCCAGTTTGATCTTGTCCAAATGCCACAGTGCTTGTCAAAGCCAGTTCTGATTAATCTTCTTTGTCAGTGTGTCCTTTGCCATTCCCTATCACTCCTCCCTGAGAGAGACTTCACCCTGAGTCATAAGGAAAAGGGGATGGCGTATTCTCTTAGCTACTTCCTGCTGAAAAGGGACGCTGTGGGTTTCGGGGTGAAGATCTTCTCTCACTACT